GGAGAGCGAAACGTTGCCACAATAAAATGTCACATTAGTTGCACTTGTATCCTTTTACTTTACAACTTTGTTTCGCTTAGGGCCAGGACATTCAACTTCTTTTCATTCATAACATCAGTAATCATCTCTTTCTTCCATCATCCGCACATGGGGGGGAGCTACACGCACATGTCTATGTTCTTATATCATGAATTCAGTGAGCTAACTAATGATTAAGAAGTCGTAGTTAAGCAGCGCAAAATTGCATACAACTGACCTTAATTGCTGTCAGTAACACTATCCATCAAAGTCGGTTAGATTGAGACACTTTGCAGCATATGGAATTTTATCAGAACTTTCCACACATGGCTTCATCAGTCAATACAAAGAGGAATGGCGTTAGGAAGGAGAGAAATGAGGTAATCATCCTCAACTGGAGTCGATGTGTTCATCCATCAATCTTGTAGAACTGTTACAGCATAGGCCGTAGACGTGGCTTATATACTGTGTGAGGTGACGTGAAGCAGCATGTGGTGGGTCATAGTGGTACCACCATCTAGTCGAAGTAGGCTTCGTTCAAGGTTAAACAATGTTGAAGAATTCTTTGTAATAAACCCAGATGCTGCCGTCTGACAGTTTGATGAATGTTTGAATAAACCGAACAATTTGAATGATTGAAGACACTAATGCACATATGGAATCTTTATTCAGTAAACGTTTCGCACACCCGTGGCTCATCAGTCCAATACAAAGAGAACTTTAAGGGAGGGGAATGAAGGTATAATAGTCTCCCTAGACTGGAGTCGATGTGTAAGATCCATCAATCTGTAGGATGTACAGTTAAGGCCGTAGACGTGGCTTATATACTAGTGAGGTTTGTTGAAGCAGGGAGGGGGTCATAGATGCATCCACAGTCAAGTAGGTTTCGTCCAAAGGTGAACAACGTGTAAAATTCTTTGTAACAAGATCCCATGATGCTGCAGTGGTCGACAGTTGAAGATAAAGGTGAAAAAAACCGAAAATTAAGAGAGACAAATCACATAGATCTTTATTCAAAACAATTTCGAACAAAACAGTGGAATAGTATCAGACCAATACAAAGGAAGTTTAAGAAAGTCAGAGGTATGGCATCAGATCTGCCCAACTGAGTCGTGGCGTCCATCAACTGTAGAATCAACCATCTGCAGCCCTCACGGAAAATGCTGTTCTTCTCAGTGTCCATAAGCAAGAGCGGAGGCAGGGATCGTATAGGTAATCGTAGTTCCAAGTGGTGTTCGTCAGGTCATAACAGTGTTGAAAGAATTCTTGTGTATCGTATCCAGTGAGGTGGAGGCCTCATGACCAGTGTGTGGTCGGTTTGAAACCACAATAAAAGATTTGGCTGACTCGACCAGGTTAAAGGTGACTGATTAACCATATTGCTCGCATCCGTTACAAATTCCCCTGAATTGGAATGATGTGCAATGGTGGCGAAGTTGTCCTATAAGAATAAAATTTGAATTAAGTTTAAAATTTAATTGATGTTATTTAAACATCATCACAGTTCGGTATGAATATCTCAAAATTGCTATCTAACGATTTCTCTATTGCTGAACTACTGCTGGAAATACCATAAAGGTCCTATTCTCATTTCCATTCTAATGTGGGATTCATACTATCACATATATTTGAAAAAAATGTGTTTAAAGATGACAGATGTTGGTAAGCTAGGATATTTCTCTTTCAGACTGCGTAGGACATGGACCTAAACTTTAGGGTGTGGACTGATTACCGTCTACTTATTCACTATCTATCCACTACTGACTTAATGAAGACATCCACAGATTGGTAAAGGCTAGAAACGTTTCGATAAGATAACCTAACATATGCTGATTTAATGTCTAATCTTCAACTTTTTTTTTTCCAAACCTCTACAAATTTTAGACCCTGCGCATATGGGAATTTGTTAAAAAATTCCAAACTGTTCAAAATTTACCGAAGACCTACTTCGACATGGATGGTACCACTATACCGCTCCATCTGCTTCACGCACCTCATACGATATAAGCCAGTCTACGGCCCTAGCTGTACATTTACAAGATTGATGGACTGAACATACGACTCCAGGTTTTAGGGGCTGATTACCCATTCTCCCCCTTCCTTACGCCTTTCCCCTTTTATTGGACTGATAAGCCCCTGTGTGGCAAAAGTTTCCGAAAAAAGATTTCCATATGCTGCATAAGTGTCTCAATCTTTAAGAACCTAATGTTGCATATGTGTCTTACCTAACACTCCACCCGACTCCCGCACTATATATACTCTAAAGATACCTAACTGTTGCATATGTCTTACCTAAAAACTATATATACTTTATTTTTTTAAAAACCAAACCAAACCCTACCCCCTGAGTCAAATCGACTCGTTTTTTTTGTTTTCTTTGTATTTGGACCGCAGAAAAGGCCCCTCGTGGCGAAATGTTTTTCCTTTAATGTCCTGAAATATACTACGTGACTTTTTTCCACATAGAATTTTTGTTGAATTTAAGGAAGGATGAATTTAAAAAAGGAAACAGTTTTAAACTTTATACCCAAAAGCTTGGTGCATATTGGCTTTTTTTTGGGGGCAGAGGAGTGAAAGGGAAAAAAATTTTAGGGGAATAAGTAGTGGTATGGAAGGGTGACTTCATACATGACTCCAAAAGTAGTTAGACAGATCCATAGGTTCAGGGGCCTTATGGCAAGTGAAAGATAAACGAACCCGGGGAAATGAAATTTAACCCTGAAACTCTAGGCGAGGCACTACACCCCCCCCCCCCTCTCTTTTTCCCCCACACAATTTCGAAAAGAAGGGGTTTTGGGTATGTTCATTTAACCCTACTGGTTTTTCAAGCCGCCTCCGTCTCTCCGACAACATCATAGCGCTTAGGCGGGGGATTTTGCGCCATTTTCATTGTTCAGGGGCGGAAGGGGTGCGTAAAAAGCAATCAACGCCATCTTTTTGGGCCCCGCACCCCTTGAAAATCGCCTCCGGGGGTTTCCCCTTCCCCCCCTCCTCCCCCTCCCCCAAAAAAATGGGGCAACAGCCGAGTTGGACTGAATCGCTTAAAAATGGGGACAGTGGTGACCAAGGTTGAGGGTAGTTTGGAGGTCGATTTTATAGTTCTGCTGGGGGAAACTAGTTATAATTTGGGGGAAGTGGGTATGCCGTAGTTGGTTGTAGCGCACTCAAACCCCAAAATTTGGTCCGTGGTTCGATCCCCAATACGAATGGAAACATTAGGGTGTTTCCTGCTGTCCTTGTTCACCTAGCAGTAAATAGGTACCTGGATGTTAGCCGACTGGTGTGGGTCGCATCCTGTGGAAAAAATTAACCACACTTGCCCGAAATACTCTGCATAACATGGGGTTTTCTTTACAGTATGTCAGTGATATCAGCTAGAAATAAAAATTTTTATTATTATTATTATTATTATTATTATTATTATTATTATTATTATTATTATTATTATTATTATTATCATCATCATCATCATCATCATGAAATATGTGAACTGTTGAGGGTGATGCTAAGATTTGTCTCCATTAGTTGGCAGGTCGTTAAGGCTAGGAAATCACCCCGTGGTGGGTACCAGTGAATTATTGTTTTTTTGGTAGGTGTTGGATGAAGCTAGGATGTGTGGTCTATCTGTTGGTAGGTGTTGGGTGAAGCTAGGATATGTGGTCTGTCTGTTGCTAGGTGTTGGATGCAGCTAGGATATGTGGTCTATCTGTTGCTAGGTGTTGGATGCAGCTAGGATATGTGGTCTATCTGTTGCTAGGTGTGGGGTGAAGCTAGGATGTGTAGCCTGTCTACTTCTAATTGATATATTCATTGCTTGCCACTACGTGAGGTTAGGAAGCTACATGTTTCCAACTGAGATCTGGGTAAACGGTATAAAATACCGACAAGTTGAAGATTAAGACACATGTCCAGCAATTGGTTATCTTTAATTGATGAAACATTTCGCCTACACAGTAGGCTTCTTCAGTCAAATACAGAGGCAGCAGGTGTAGTAATGAAATAAGGATGACGTAATCAGCATTTGAAAAAGAAAAAGTATTTGAGGTGGTCAGTCCCTCTGTTTGTCCTATTGTTTAGTTTCGCCCCTCAGTTCTCTGGACAAATACGAGTCAACTATGAAACAAAAGAACAAGCTTGACGGATTTCCTATTTTTTTTAAGAAACTGTTTAACATGACTGTTTTTAATTCTTATTAGATCTCACCATAATATCCTGATGCCACGGAAGAATAAGAATTGGTGGGTAGTCAATTATTTTTCCGGAGTATATACGATTGTCAGTGGGTAAGAGTTAGTGTTACTGAAGGGAGGGTATGGGGTTATTATTTCTACAAGCACGTGATATAACTTTACATACCTAGCAGACATCACAGACATACTACGTGTATAGAAAGCCCCTGGTTATGTAGAGCATTTCTGGCAACTTTGGTTAATCTTATCCTCCAGTCGATTAACACCTAGGTACGTACTGACTGCTAGGTGGACAGTGAGAGCAGGTGTAAGGAAACATGCCCAACGCTTCACCAGTGCAGGGGATCGATCCTGGACCCTCAGTGTGTGAGCTAAGGATGCAGTCAACCAAGCCACGAGGGAGGGTGTGAGTTGATGACATTGAAGGGTGGGGGATAGGTTGATGTCACCTGTTTATAGCAGTGGAGACCCAAGAACACTTACAGAACTGATCCTTAGGCGACTCAAGAGATTTGTATTTCACTATACACTGAGAGGTTTGTATATACACATCTCTGTATATATATACACAGGTGTGTATCGCTGTATATACAGCGAAACATATATATTTACTATATATATCTAGAGCTGTGTATATTTCTCACCATCCATTTTCATTACAAAACCTAAAACGACTCGAATTAGAGCACGTTTTCACCCTCCATTCTTACAATTCAAAACATTTATTTACATCTCGAAAAGCAAATGAACCAAAGATTTTCTTAACTAGTATCATGTTTTTTCCACTTGTTGCAGGCCCAGCAGACAGCATCCTGGCGAGCGTCATAAAAGCCGACGAGGTAAAGAAGCCCAAGTCAAAGGATCTCTCTATCTACAGAACCCCTTCAGGTAAGGTGCCTGTCAGGGTGCCAAGATGTATTCGTAAGTTTACGGAGTAACCTGGTAAGACAGAGGATTATTATTATAATAAAAAAGAAGCGCTAAGCCACAAGGGCTATACAGGTAAGACAGGAAAATAGCGAGATATGTACTCTCTATTTCACCAGTTTGTGGTTGCTGGGTAGAGGCAGAGACACTCTTACTTTCACAGTCCCTATAATACGTCTTCGTAAACCTGTGTAAGGAGTCTGTCTTTAACGCTTCTTCACCCAAGTCATTCCACTTGTTGGTCACCCTAATGCTCAAGAAATATTTGTTGACATCCCTGCAGCTCGTCTGCGTCTTTAACTTCCGTTTGTGTTCCAGTGTTCTCATTTCCTGCTTCTCATTTTTTGTGTATCAGGTTCTTTGCGTATCTTGCATATCGTGAACATGTACTCCCTATACATTCAGTCCACTAATTTCATCGGTTGTACTGCCTCCCGGTTCGTTTCTCTTAACTTTAGGATTAGTCTTGTTAAGAATCTCTGCAAACTCTACGAAATCATGACGATTTCGGGGGTCACCATCCTTGTTGTCTGGTCCTAGACCAGACCTGATATATGTTGCATACAACATGTATCAGGTGTGTTGTATGTAACATTTATCAGCCATGACTAATTCAGAGGTTCCTGGAAATAAATCTTAGGTTCCCTGGTCTCGCATTCACTTCAGAAGTCGTGAGATTAATGTGCGCCTCTGGCTATATGCTGACTGTAGTCACATATACATGTAGGTGATTCTCATTTGTTTTTTCAAGGTTGTACTATGCTTGTCTTTTTTAGGCTTCCCATAGTTTCATAACCTTGCATTTTGGGGGTTGATATTCAATAGCTGTTTGTCTGACCAACTATGCAGTTTGCCCTGTCCTCCTTGGTTTATTTATATTCTCATCATTAACTGGTAGCAATTTTTTACTTTATGTTAAGAACTAAGCCCGTGTGGGTTAGAGTAAAAACTCAGTCTTGCGTTCGCTGATCGTTAAACCGACACACTGCCTGACTCTGTGTATAGTATCAAATCAGGTTAATATCTTTTTTTTTTATTTTTTACATAAAACATAATTAAAATTTAGTAAGCGCAGCTTGTGTGTTGCTCATCATCTATTGTATAATTCCATAAAAATTCTTCTTCCCTTTCATAGCTAACCATCTCCTGTGACCACAAATCTCTGTTGCAAACTCTTGAACATTGCATTGTGAATAATACAGATCACACCACAAATATACGACAGCGTCTTCATCACTTTCTCCAACTTTAGTTCTAAGCCTAACATTTCTCTCTCTCTTATCTTTTTCTTTATTGTTACCGTTTAACCAGGATGTTACTGCTGGCCGCACGCAAACTGACATACGAACCACAGCCCGGCTGGTCAGATACTGACTTTAGTTGTCTGTCCAGTGCCTTCTTGAAGACAGTCAGGGGTCTACTGGTAATCCCCCTTATGTATGCTAGGAGGCAGTTGAACAGTCTTGGGCCCTTGACACTTATTGTGTTGTCTCTCAGTGTACGCGTGGCACCCTTGCTTTTCATTGGGGGAATGTTGCATCGTATGCCTAGTCTTTTGCTTTCATAGGGAGTTATTTTCGTGTGCAAGTTTGGATTTTCCAAGTGTATATTATCATGTATCTCTCTCGCCTGCATTCCAGGGAATACAAATCAAGGGACTTCAACCGTTCCCAGTAATTTAGGTGCCTTATCGTACTTAAGTGTGCCGTGAAAGTTCTTTGTACACTCTCCAGGTCAGCAATTTCGCCTGCCGTGAAGGGGGCAGTTAATGTACAGCAACATTCCAGCCTAGAGAGAACAAGCGGTTTGAAGAGAACCATAGGCTTGGCATCCCTGGTTTTGAAGGTTCTCATTATCCATCCTATCGTTTTCCTAGCAGATGCGGTAGATACATTGTTGTGGTCTTTGAAGGCGAGATCCTCTGACATTGTCACCACAAACATAAACATCACATTATCTGAATAGTTTCCAAAATATGTACTATTACAAAAACATGCCTGTTTGTAAATAGATTCCAAATATGTTTGTATTAGTACATATTTTTTTCAATTAAGCAGATAATGGGTACATTTTGATTGGTGTTGTAATTTCTCCTCACATGGCGCAAGTCCTCTATTATATTATTTCCACATTAATGGGGGAAGTTTATACCCGCAGGAATCATTCAGCACCTAGGGGAATGAATTCAGTTAAAGTGATTAGTCTAATTCCTTGGCTCAATAGCTCATCACCAGCACCAAGGGATCTTTTTCTCTAGTATATTTGTTTTCACTTACCTTTTATACAATGACACCACTCTTCTTGTAAGTCATCTTCCTCTTACACTACCTTCAGATCCCTCTAAATAATGAACGGATGTATCAGTCGTTCCTTCTAAAACACACACATCTAGAAATCAACCCTTCAATTTTTTTCCCCACAAAAAGTGTAGTAAACTGCAATCGTTGTACACTTCTTTGTACCTTAAAGGCTTATTTCACTTTTTTTACTTGAAAATGTGTTGCTTATTACCAAACCTCCGTTAAAGCATAAGTCTGTTGTCATTTACAAGTGGCCCGGTGGCCTGGTGGCTAAAGCTCCCGCTTCACACACGGAGGGCCCGGGTTCGATTCCCGGCGGGTGGAAACATTTCGACACGTTTCCTTACACCTATTGTCCTGTTCACCTAGCAGCAAATAGGTACCTGGGTGTTAGTCGACTGGTGTGGGTCGCATCCTGGGGGACAAGATTAAGGACCCCAATGGAAATAAGTTAGACAGTCCTCGATGACGCACTGACTTTCTTGGGTTATCCTGGGTGGCTAACTCTCCGGGGTTAAAAATCCGAACGAAATCTTATCTTATCTTCAAACCTTCTCAGTGTACCTTCCATCACTGTCTGCCACCTTTGCAATAAAATCTCAAATAGTTAATACTCTTGGCCAATTATTATTATTATAATAAAAAAGAAGCACTAAACCACAAGGGCTATAAGCGCTACAGGGCAGGAAGGAAGCGAGGGTATCAGGTGGTAAAAGGGAGATGGATGAGTAATAGGTTACGGAGAACAGCGGGGCAGTGGATAGTGAAAGGGTAGAGGGCAGCAAAAGATTGAGGTAGAAAGGGCTGAGAGGAGTGCGAAAGGTATCATCATCAGAGTTTGTGGAGTAAATCAGTCGTTGTCAAGAAGTCAATGAGAGAGTCAGGATTAAAGGAGGGTTCATCAGCAAGAAGGGAAGGTAAAGAAAGAGTAGGAGAGTGGAGACGACGTTGGAGGTAAATTCTGCGTGCTCGTTGATAGAGAGGGCAGTCTAACAGAATGTGGCTAACCGATACTGGAACCTGACACTTCTCACAGAGAGGAACAGGGCGCCTTTCCATGAGATACCCATGAGTAAGTAAGACGAGTGTGGCCAATGTGAAGATGGGAGAGAGTAGTCTCTCAACCTCGACACTGATGACAAGAAGACGGCCAGTTACCTATACTCGGTTTAATAGACTGAAGTTTGTTACTGAGCAGATTAGACCAACGTTGTTGCCAATGGGTGTGAAGGTAGATAGCTATTACAGCAAAATAGTCTGGAAATGGAACACCTCTGGTAGGTCGTGTACTGCTGACCGCGCAGCAGTGTCTGCCTGTTCATTGCCCTGTATGTCAACATGACCAGGGACCCAACAAAAAACAATATCTTTATGCTTAGTAGAGATGCGGCGTAGCCAAAGTTGGATACGGAGAATTAGGGGGTGAAGTGTATCAAATTTTTGTATAGCCTATAGAGCACTAAGGGAGTCTGAGACAACCACAAATGTTGACACAGGCATAGATGCAATATGGATAAGTGCTGCAAGAATGGCATACAATTCGGTGGTAAAAATCTAGCCAAAGATAGTAAATGCCTTCGCACGATGCTGTCCGGAAACTCTGCTGCGAATCCGACACCATCAAAAGACTTACAGCCATCTGTGTACACTGCGATGGCATGAGAATGAGAGTGGAAGTGGTCAAGAAAAAGACAGCGGGAAGCTACCGTAGGCAGTTGGGCTTTCGAGCAAGGGAGTGAGAAAGAACAGACTCGAACAGCTGGAACTTCCTAGGGGGGTAGGGAAAAGTGAGATGCTACATGAACATAGAAAGGTTGGTAACTGAAGGGAAGACAAGAGCGAATGTAGGCAAAGAGAGAAGGGACGGAGAAAACAGGGACGGTGAACAAATAATGTCTACTAATATCGGTGACCATTCTATAAATGGAAGGATTGTGGAGATCATGAGAGCATGCATAGTAACGAAGGTAATGGGCATCACGGCAATCGGACAAGGATGGAACATTCGCTTCTGTATAGAGGCTCTTAACAGGGGAAGAGCGAAAAGCACCAAGGCATAAACATAATCCTTGGTGATGGATGGGGTTAAGGCTGGAGAGAGTAGCAGGAGAGGCCGCTTAATAGATCTGGTCACCATAATCGAGTTTCGACAAAATGAGGGCTGAATGTAGGTGAAGGAGAGTTCGACGATCAGCTCCCCATGAAAAATGAGCAAAGGTTTTAAGAAGGTTCAGCCGGCTGTGACAAGTTGCCTTCATGAAGAGAGGTAATGTGAGGTTTCCAGGATAACCTACAGTCAAAGAGGAGGCCTAGAAACCTGACTATCACATTCAGGGACACAGGAGTCATAGAGGTACAAAGGATGATCGGAGATGACAGAGCGTCTAGTGAAAGTAATTTGATGAGTTTTGGCACTGGAAAATTTAAACCCATGTGTGGTGGCCCAATTGGAAACACGGTCAGCTGCATGCTGGAGAGAAACTGTAATGAGGTGACAGTCAGCACCTGCACAAGCAATAGCGAAGTCATCAACATAGAAGGATGACCAAATATTGGATGGAACACTAGAGGCCAGATCATTTATAGCAAGGAGAAAAAGTGTTGTGCTCAGAACACATCCGTGGGGGACACTTTTAGCTTGGACAACGTCCGGGGAGAGCA